ATTGCCTGAAAATGCACTTTTGGCTTGCTATTTTATATGTTCTTCATCAAGGTTACCTGACCGAACGTTCGGGGGCCCCCGGGCTGGCCCCCGAACGTTCGGGCGTTCAGGGTCCCGTTCGGGGGCCGAACACCTCCAGGTTCAGGCCTTGCCAAAAAAAATTTCAGGGCCTAAAAATATATTTTTTTTTTCTGAATTTTTTTTTTCTGATTTTTTTTTTCTGAGTTCTCTATGATGTAACCTACACGCCTATAAATTTTGAAGCCATTCTGCTAAGCCACAAAAAACATTAAAAATCGTCAAAGATGGGGGTGTCAAAACGTGCTCGCCCACTCACTATTTTGTTTTTGTTTTCACTTTTAACTTTTTGTTTTCACTTTATTTCGAGGCCTAAACAATTTTTATTATTTTTTGAAAACTTTTTAATGAGTTATTGATTATGTAAACTACATATCTGTAAATTTTTAGGGCATTTGTCAATGCCAAAAAATAATTAAAAATCGGCAAAGATGGCGGTGTCGAAAAGGTGCTGGCACACTCACTCATTTTAATTCTCTTTTTATTTTTTCTTATTTTTATCATAGTGTTTATTTTCTGTATTGGATTTTTAATTCAAATTTGGTAAAGAATTTTGATGTAGTGCCCAGGCCAATGTTGTTTAGTTTATTTTTCTCCATAACATATTTGTTTTTTGAAATTTTTTGAAATTTGTTTTTTTGTCTTTTTTTTTTGGTCCACCTTCGGCCCGAACGGCCGAACGCTTTCCGAAGGGGTCCCGTACGTTCGGCGTTCGGGTTCGGGCATTCGGCCCGTCCCGAACGCCGATAACCCTGTTCTTCATTATTTTTTTTTAGTATTTTTTTTATCATATGTTAGTAAGAAGTGCACTCTATACATTGGTATGAAGTTTGCTTGAAATGACCTTATGGTTTTCTTATAAATTGAGGTGAAAAATGGGGGGTCAGTTAACCATCTCTCCCTCCTGACCACCAAAATCTTGAAACAACAATGAAACCTGCCCAATCTACCACCATATTCCAACTGCCCCACGAAACCCCACCACCCCGCTCGCCATACTTGTCAATTTGCATAACCTATCGGCGCGCGTCTCCGCCATCCCCCCCTTCTCTCCCTCTATTCGTGGAAGCAACAATTTCTGGAAAACAGGGCCAGCATCCTACATGCAGATCAACATTGACTGCCTCTTTCTTTGTTTCTCTTTTCCTTAATCCAGACGTGACATCTTTGCAAAGGGACCATGCTAATCTAGTCTGAATCGGATATCTCGAAGGACGCTGATCGATTGGTTGATTGATTGCCTCTTTCATTGAAGAGGGGTTGTTGAGTGGGCAAATCCTGCAATTGAAAACGACTTTGGATATGAGGGACGCTCGTGATGGGCAACCTCATGCCCTGTTCAACATTTTCTACTCTCACAGACCCAGTGTGAGTCTGACGGGTTGTCGACGGGAATCTTGGGCAGGGGTGAAATTTCAGGGAAAAACTGAAACTTCCCGTGTTTGTTCATGGGTGATTCTTCACGTGAAAAAATCACAGGTAATGGAGAAAATTTAGTGAGGGGCAAGAATGCAAAAAAGAGGGTACCCAGTACAACACCCATCACGGTCCAAAAGTAAGAGGGGCTATAGGGCCAATGACACAAAAATATGAAAGAGCCAGGAAAGGGGACAAGTAATCGGGCCCAAAAGAGGTCACTCACACGACGTCCAATCTGCAGGCAGGGCTTGCTAGCTGGTATGTGAAAGCTTTCCAGAAGCTAGCGTGCAGCGTGGCTGTTTCTCGGAAAGTGCACCGCACCCTAATAGTCGAGTACCAAACCCTGTTATGAGTAAGAGTTGCCGCTTGCACCAGACACACTTGATTCAGGGTTTCGTCCGCTTCCGCTTCCATCAGGGTTGGGAGGTTGGCCCAGCCTTGGTGCTTGTCACTGCTGTCTCATCCAAGTTGCCCTCGATACCGGTAGGGTGATGGTCCTGAGTGCTGGTCACACTGAGGTAGGATAGTGGGGACAGGGGGTGCGCTGGGAGTATTAAACCACCAGTACCTCGACATTTTTAGGCCGTTAACGCGGTGCAGGTCCATGTGCATTTGCCTCAGAGCCTCCCCAGAGGGGGCCTAAGACCCCTTGGGGTGCTGGTGGTTTAACGTGGGGATGGGTAGGGTAGGTAGGTGGCCTATCCTGTCAGGACAACCATTGGCTGCCGCTACTAGCAATCACTGCGGGTCTGGTCCTTGGCCTCTACAACATCCTGGGCTTTCAAAAAAAAAAAAAAAAAAAAAAGAGGAACAATCAATCAAATAAAAAACGTTGCCCCCTAAGAGATAAGCATTACAAGGGTCATATAGCTGGAATTACCTCATGCACAAAAATGTGATCCTTATGTGTGTGATGAAGTGGACACTATTGGGGGGGGGTTGGGGGGGCAGGGGGGGGATGGGGGGGGGGGTGGGGGGGGGGGGGGGGGTGGGGGTGGGGGTGGGGGAAGTGTGTATTTTTTGGATTTGGTTGGATGCTTTTTGTTTTTTTTTTTTTTTTTTTGCTCTTCATTCCTTGTACTTTTCGTCCATTTATGGAAGAGGGGGAAAGAGCTCCCCGCTGAGCGCCAGGATAAGAGAGGGACCCCACTGCGGCACGGAGACGGTTTGGAATTCCAAAAAGTGGTCCGCGGAATCCCACATATGTGCGCGGTGGTTTCTACAAATCGAGGGAAAGTGTTTCCACTACCCCCTTGGCCTGTTGGTACCCCCGGGCAACAGGGAATTTGGTTGGCATCGGAAGGGTAGGGGGGGGGGCACCCCTTCCATAGCCAACGGAGAGCTGCATGCAGCGTCCCAGGTCGGACGTGTGCAATGTCCGGTGGAGTCGTCCTGGGCAGAGGGCGGACATGCCACCGCTGTCGCACAGGAAATGGACTGGTCCCATGCTTCCCTGTCGTGTTTCGTGACGGTCCCGCACTTTTTGAATTTTCGGCGCGCGGTGGTCATTTTGAAATCAGGAAAGGGTGGGAGGTGAAAAAAAAACACACAAAATTCCACGGACGGAATGCAGGGAGCAACCAGGGATGCCCCACACGAGCACGCTGTCTGTCAACAACACGCATCCTCTGCATGAGGCATGCACGTCAACGGGACGTCGGCCATTACCATCAACGCCGAGAGCATAGCCAGGATAGCAATGCAGCGCACGCCGTCCATCACCTGCACTCTGGCCCGAGGTGTGCATCGACTCCAGCCGACCCGGTTTGGAGGCAGGGCATTGATGGTGATCGGTGCCGGTCTTGTTGTGAGGCATTGGATTGCGGGATCTGTCGAATACGTTCGTGAATCGGCATCGTTGACGGCGCACCTTGCTAACCGTGCACAAGGGGAGGCGTGAAAGATTGTTCACATGTGTTGTGTGAACCCTGTGGTGAGGCGATCGGCTTGGACGGGTGTTCGGTTGTTGTTAGGCATCTGCTGGTCACACCTTTCTCTCTCCTATCCTCCAGTTCCTTACCGAGCTGTTCTGCATCCACGCCAGTCGACACCTGCACGTCCTGGGGAGCTTGCGGGAGAGTGGGGGGGGGTTCGGCGTCCGCAGCGGCTCACTGGAAGGGAGGGGATGCAGGACACTGGCGGCCAATGTGGCGAGGGTTGTTCATCGCTGCGCTGCTGGGGCAAGGAGGTGGGACAAGCTCGGTGCACAGGCTGCAGTTTCCTTTGGGCAGTGTCGATCACCCTTCTGTTGCTTTTGGTTGTCGTGGCCATTGCCGTTTTCTTCTTCGCTGTCTTGCTGCTGCTAGCGATGGTGTTGTGGATTCCCATCTTCCCGAGGTCTGCGGCAAGGTGAGAATATATGAACATCCCCCCAAAGATCGGACCTTTCCATAGGTGTGAGGCGAGTACATGACATGGAGAGGTGGCATTGGTCGCAGGAGGCGACCTTTCAAGAAGAGTATGGCGAGACAGAGCATCAGAACCGGTTGGACAATTTGCAAGGTTTGCAACACACTCCTCCATCAACACACCTGTCCATGTTGAGCGAGGATGCAGACAAGTACGGAGTTCCCCCATCATTTCCTTCCCAAGTCGGGCCGCTGCCATAGTGGCGAAACGATCCACAAGGACTGCATTAAATGCGGTGCGCGAGCCAGCCGCCTTTCCAGCAGTTGGTGATGGCCACTGCTTACGGAGACAGCAGATGATGGGGTCGCTTCAACCCCCCGCAGCATCCTCTCATTTCACTGGTTGGCCAACTCGATTGCTGCCTCCCGAGGGATTCACAACATCGTTGCTCGAGGAAGACGACGACGTGGAGTGTGGTGTGGACGGGAGTTGGGGGGGGGGGGAGAGGACTGGTGAACGGCGAGCACCTCGTGAGCGGTCCTATGACAATGCGGGCCGGGGGGGTTCTGGTGGCGAAAGTTAAGAATTTGGCTGCTATGAGCACTATGACCGAGGACACGTCGCACCTGATGGTAATCGTTCTCCGTCTCCAGCAGCGGCCCAGACTGCTGCGGATCCAACGCCCTGTCTCTTATACACATCTAGATGTGTATAAGAGACAGGTCCTATGACAATGCGGGCCGGGGGGGTTCTGGTGGCGAAAGTTAAGAATTTGGCTGCTATGAGCACTATGACCGAGGACACGTCGCACCTGATGGTAATCGTTCTCCGTCTCCAGCAGCGGCCCAGACTGCTGCGGATCCAACGCCCACGCACGGGTAGCGGAGTAACTGTGGCGATGTGCCTGCCGCAACGGTGCTCCAACATCCATCTCCATCTGCCCCCGTGACGGGAGTGAGGGAAGCCACAGGGACGACTGCGCGCAGACGTGGGCATCCACATCAACACCGGCCGGAGGCTGCGCGGACGGGAGCACTGTCATGCACAACACGAATGCAGGAGGCGGCGGTTCATGGGCCGGTACGCAAGCTCTTCTTGTGCAAAAAAAAGTTCAATGATCTGTGGAGCAGTGCTTGGCTCTTGCTAGAATCCAGCGTGAAGATGAGGCTCTTGTGGCGGATGCGTCTAGTGTGCACAAGCACAAGAAGCATGGGGAGAGACGGGAATGGATCGCCCGTTGGATGAGGGACACGGGCTGGAATCGATCTGCGGACGACTGCAGGAAGAAGTGGTTTGCGCTGGGCCAGAAATTGAAGGTGCTCGTAGACATGGTCGGCCGGTCCGGAAAGCCTGGATACTTCGACATGACAGTGGAAGAGAGGGAGGCAGAGCGGCTGTATGCAAACTTTGATAGGCGGTTATGGGCGGAGATGGACTGGATTCTGCAAAAGCCGTCACGGACCTGTGACAACACGCCGAACTCCGACTCTTTGAATGCCAAGGACGGGGACAGTTCGGCGAGAGGGTCGACTGATAGGGGAGGTTCGAACTGGGAGCGGTCGGAAGCCTACGCCAGCGCCGATAAAGCGAGACGCACGTCTAGTGGGAGGGTGAGCAATGGGGATGGGCCTTCGTCCATGTCAGGGATGAGTGTCGCACTCGCGGAGTCAACACGGGTGTACGGGGACGGGTTGGACAGGGCAGCAGTGACGATAGCAGAAGCACAAATGGTAGGGGCGACTATGGTGGCAGGGAGGCTTGGTGACATGGCTACGCAGATCGGGGCAGTGCCATGACAGAAGGCAGTACTGTTCTTCATCTGCTGGTTTGTGTGATGGTGAGGCGGGGCACAGGGGGGCCCAATTGCCCTCGGGGTGGGCATGACACCAATCCTTCTTCCCTGTGACAACATTGGTGGACAGGCGGGCTGCAATGCGCATCCTTACACTGTCAGCCGGTTTGAGTCCATGCAAGGATGGGGGCATGGGCTGGAATGGAAGTGTTTTTGCCAGCGTGCACATGGCATAAGTAGAAATAATAAAATGGAAGAAAATACAAATTTGAAGGAGCCACGACCGGTTGCACCGGTTCGAGAATAGAGAAGTAAAAAAAAAAAAATTGAAAAAATAAAAGAGAAAGTGAGAAAGTACCTGTTTATCCTTGATGGGAGAGACACGGTTCGTGGGAGCCGTGTCGATTGGGATAAAGCGTGTGAATAGGGAATATGGAAGGGACCGAGTGGGACTCACAAAGGCTGACGTGTGTGTCCTTAAATAGCTGCCTTTCGTAGTCCCCAACCAGAAACACTTTGACGTGCAGTTGCCTTCACTCATCTCGTTGCGCAACCGTTGACACACGCATGCACTTTGCGCGACCGAGAGAGAGGGACAGAGAGAGCGTCGCCGAGAGAGCGAGATTACGACACACACACACACACACACACACACACACACACACACACACACACACACACA